TTTATAAAATTCAATTATATTCGAAAATGTGTATTGTGTTTCTCGAAAATGAATATTTATGCGAATGTATAGGTACATGAAATTTACTTGTTTAAGTGTCCAACTATCTATTGAATGAAATGTTTGGATTGAGCCCGCATGTGCAGCTCAACTGGTCTCATAGGTGGAATTTGGAACAAGAAGCCAAAGATCGAGCCGCACCCGCGACAATGTGGGAGCAAGTGAGCAACCTCTCATAAAATGAGGGGGCTCCTGGTGCGTAGTGAGCACTAGTCTTAGCCTTTGTTGGTGTTTGAAGCACCATGATTTACTTTCTCTCATAAACCTGTGAGGCATGGGGTGAGGGGTGACCGAGATGAGCGATTTCCAATTCCTTCACGATACCTCCCAAGGAAAATTTCAATTTTGGATCCCAAATTGACGGGTTAGTGTGAACTTATCCATTTGGTTATCCACTCTTTAAACAAGAATCTGTTTTATATAATAGCCTAACTTTCTTGGGGGGTGTATTCAATCTAGATTTTATATGATTTTGATAGATTGTTTAGAATCTATCGATCTATAAAATGAATGGATTATCAAGAGTTTATGCAAAGTTAGATAGATTTTATTGTATTTTATCAACAAATTTCATAGGATTCTAGTAGATTATTTATAATCCATGTATTATTTATTCATATAAAAATTCATACATTACGCTAACATTAATTATATTTATGAAATTTATCAAAAACTTAAATTAACAATAATATATTAAAATAAAAATAAATTATTTTTTAAATATTATTATCATTATTATAAATTTATTAGCACATAATAATATATTGATCATTGTCATAAACAATAAATTTGTTTTGAACCTCAAAGCATTATTGTCTCTAAACTATTTTTCATATATGTAAAATTTTATCAATAAAAAATCAAAGAAAACACAAATGATAGAAGACATTACTCAAAAATTCAAAGAAGAATTAAAAATAAAGTTATTAAATAATATAGCTCTCTCTCTCTCTCACTTCATCTTTTGTTTATCGATTACCAAGGAAAAAACACAATTTCTTTTAAATAAGAATAAAGTATATTTAACAAGCAAAAATCAGAATATGAGTATGTACCATAAAAATATAATACAATACTACAATTCTAAAGTATATGAACTATAAGAAGATATTAAACCAAACATTTTTTAGAACAACTTAATAATAAACCACAAGTACCCAAAAACAATTTAATAAACCATACTATTCTTAACTCTCGGCAAAAATAAAGTCAAATAAAAAATTTAAAATAAAATCATATAATCCTTTCATTCATTCTCATATATCTACTCATTTTATCCTCTCATCTTATGGTGTATCCAACTTAACCGTTCTTCAAGTGACATCTTCAAGAAGACATCTTTTTTTCCTCTGTTATCAAGCAACTCAACCGCCTTAACTAGGTATCCTCATCTAAGCCCGGGGCATCCTTGATGGCATCCCAAATTATATTTTCTCTTTCTATTTTCTCTAGCAGGCTATAGATTCCTTTGGAACTTGTAGATATTTCGTTTAGCCTTTCTATGACGCCACTTCCTTCAAATGTACTTCTATTTCTTTTGGTTTGTGTTATTTTTTGCATGGGAACCTCATGACTTTTAGGAGATAAGAGTGGGTGATGTGGAGGGAAAATGTGGTTAACTTTGAGGTTAACTTATGAATGCATTAATAAGAACTAGTATCACACCCGTGCGTTGCACGGATCATATTTATGTTAGTAAATTATATTAACATCATTTTTGAAAGATACAAATTGATAATAATCTAGGTGGTGTTTACCAATTAACAACACATTGTCACCAAAAGTCAATTTCTGAATCCCATAAATTTGTAATGAAAATCCCATAAATTTGTAAAGAAAATTTGGAAAATTTTCCCGAAATCTCTTTAAGTTTTGTCCTGCCAAAGAATTTTAGCATAAAATGGTGGCTAGTAGTTTTCGTTGTTTGGTAATTGCGTTGTGCTTTGACTCTTATCAGTAAATAAACACTATTTTCTTTCAATTTTTCATTGAAAGTGCGTATATTTGAATCTCTAATCTGCACATGTATTCGATCTCTCTAACAGTGCAAATGAAAAAAGTGCATATTAGCATCATTACAATGTTGTGAATGTATACGTAATTTTGGTTAATTATAATAAACCAACTAACATCGAATCATGAAAAATTACATCCAAGGATTCATGTCCCTAGTAGGGCTGGGTTGGAAAAACCGAAAACCGCAAACCGAACCGAAATCGATCGAAATGAGCTAGCAAAAAAACCGAACCGAAAAAACCGAAACCGAATGTAAAAAAACCGAACCGAACCGTTAGTATTTGGTTCCGTTTTGGTTTTCACTTTGAAAAACCGAACCGAACCGAATAAACCAAACTTTTTTAGATACTTCACTTAATTTATATGAATATATGTGATATGTAGAAAAATCATAGAAATATAAATGCAAATAAATTACTAGTCGATTTAAATTATTTTCTTATCTATTAATTAAATATTCTAGCCATATTATTATCAACTTTAAAAAACTTAAGAATATATATGAACACCATCCAATAGTAATCCTAATATAGAATCATATTAAGATTAAAAATTGATAGACGTAATTTACATATTTACATAAAAAATACTTTGATGTTATGATGAAATTGAAAGTATTATACAAAAAATATAAATTCTTCATAATTGATTTTACATACGATGTCTTTGGAAGTATTTAGAATCTTCTAAATGTTTGTTGGCACTCCACACATCTTTTTTATGTAAAATTAAACTATAAGGAGCAATAACCTTCTCTTTGGTTTTTTGTTTTTGTGTAAAAATCAAACAAAAAAACCAAAGCTAACACTACATATTTTTATTGTTTCATCGAGTTAGTGTTTTATAAATTTTTAATGCTTATAAATTTCTACTTTTATAAACCGAAAAAAACCGAAATAAAAACCGTAAAAAACCAAACCGAATAACCAACGGTTTTCATATTTTTTATGCAAAACCGAACCGAACCGCCAATCTACCTTCCGTTTTGTCTTTGGTTTTGGGTAAAAACCGAACCGCCAAAACCGAACCCACCCCTAGTCCCTAGCATGGGCGGGGAAATGATAAACTCGTATCGCTCTTAATTTAAGCATCAAAACTAATGACATCTCACTAATATTTTTTACATTTTCTAACAATCCCAAGTTACTCGAAAGGTAGAATTGAATGATTATATAATATTTAATATAATAAGAACTTTAAAACTCAAAATGTAGTTCAAAGAGGGTAATTACAAAAAGAGTTTGACAATGTCCGTATGTATCGTAGGAAAATTTTAATTTCTTTCTCTATTTCGGATTTTGTAAACTTTTTTAATTTCTGGAAGCAGCCTAGCCTAGTCTTTTAATAAAAATGGAAACTTATTGGTACGCTATATATTTTTGTATTCTCCCAACCAACAAATGGAAACATAGTAAAAATTGCTTACAAAAATTAATGCATACGCAATATATTTTTTTGTTTTCGGAATTTGTTTTCCATTTCAGAATTTGATACTTACCAAAAACTTATGCATACCAATGTATTTAATTTCTTTTTCAATTTCTGGATTTGTAATTATTAAAATTTTCAGAATCAGCCTAGTCAACCCAGCCTTCTAATAAAAATAAAAACTTATTGGTATGCTATATTTTTTTGTATTCTCCAAACCAAAAATGGAAACATCGTACTCCGTAGAAATTGTTAATTGATGCTTACCAAAATTAATGCCTATGCAATATATTTTTATGAGAAATGTTAGGTTCACAATCAAACTAATCAGAAATTTCACCAACTTATTATTTGTGATTTATATTCTTTTTTAAAAATTATTCTAGACTACTTTATTTGTTTATTGAACTCCATAAATGGTAAGTTTATGAACTTTGTGACAATTTGATTTGTGAACCTAGCATTTCTCATTTTTTTTGTATTCTCCCAACTAAAAAATAGAAACATGTATTCTACCAATATGTATGAAAATTTTAATTTCTTTATTGATTTTTAAACTTTTTAAATATTTTTTATTTTCGTATTTAGATTAGAAATAATAATTAAGCTAGCCTTTTAGTAAAAATGGAAACATAGAAATATGTAATATATTCTCCCAACAAAAAAATGGAAACATAGTAATTATTAATTAATGCTTACCAATATGTAATTTTTTTATTTTCGTATTTAGATTAGAAATAGTAATCATGCTAGCCTTTTCATGAAAATGAAAACATAGAAATATGCAATATATATTTTTTGTAGTAACCCAATAAAAAATGGAAACACGGTAATTATTAATTGATGCTTACCAGTATGTAGAAAAAAATTAATTTCTTTACTGATTTTGGATTTTGTAAATTTTTTTATTTTCGTATTTAGATTAGAAATAATAGTCCGCGTAACATTTTTATAAAAATGGAAACATAGAAATACACTTTATATGTTTTTTGTATTCTCCCAACTTAAAAATGGAAACATAATAATTTTTAATTAATGCTTACCAATATTATTTCTTACTCACATGTTACTCGAATAACACACACTTTCTATATATTACTTTGACATTTTTTATATTGTCCAAACCAAAAAAATGGTAATATAGTACTTATTAAGTACTTAATAAGTAATGCTTACCAATATTAATGCTTAGAATAAATGTAATGGGGTAACATGCACAAAACTTTTTATTTAATCCTCTCACGTTTGGGCAGGAAAAAAATTCACCTCTTTTTAAATAAAGTATAGATTATTTGCCAAGTCATAATCAAGGCCATCTATATGCACATTTCTCTTTTCTCCTGCGCTCAATGTTCTTGCATCAGTTGTACTACCTAACCTAATTGAGTTTTTTCCAACAACTACACCGTTACTAATTGCGATATCCAAGTTCTCATAATCCTAAAATTTTCCATAATGTAATTTGTTGCTATGCTTGGAAAATTTGGATAATTCAGAAAAAAAGTTTCACAAAAAAAGGTATTATGAATTAAAAACTTTTTGGACAAGAAATCTTTGGATCTAGTGAAACACAACCCAGTCCGATGCCCTAAACCAGACACGCCAATTAGACCTGACCAGTGACCTGCATCAGCATCATTGAAGAGATTCCATTGTGCACCAGGAAGAGGGAGACGAGAATGAAGAGAGCCTCCGCGATACTCCGTTATTTAATCGGCTCTGCACCGTGCCTCACTCCTCGATCTTCTGCACTGATGGTGTCCTCCGTCGCCACCGTTTCATACTCCACCGTTGCTCTCGCCGATATTTCCCAACCACTTTTCAATTCTACAATTAGTCCTACTTTCTCTGTCAACGTACAATCGCCGCGATTCAACAACCATTTCCGTAGTTTTTCGTCTCCATCTTCCGCAGGTTTGTGCTAAAACACTCACTCTCTATGCAATTCTGTAAGATTATTTTTATGTTTGTAGGCTGTTTTTATTGATTTTAAAGAAAAAGCTATTTTTCAGCTTGATTCTGGGGTTGCTCCAATCTTCACGCAAACATTCATTCATAGAATAAGTTTCACATACAAAACCCTGGTTTTTGCATAACACCCAAGGCCAGATTTGTTTAGATTGGAGTGGTTTTCCATGTATCTAGGATCCTTTTAGTTAGCTAGGTATACTGCAGTGTTTGCTTTGTGTAATCTTGTTTAATTGTAGAGTAGATTTTTATTTCCTTTATATTTGTTTACCTTGACTTGTTGGACAGTCCTAACATGTATCTTCCTTTATGCTTGAGCTGGTATCTTTTTGCAACAACCTCTCTACCTTTTCGAGGTAAGAGTAAAATCTGCTTGCACCCACCCTCCCCACACCCCACTTTTGAGGTTTTACTGGGTATGTTGTTGTTCTTGTCCACTGCCAGATTTGAACCAGAGCTGGCTTGATTGTTTAAACCACACCATTGACCACCTAACCCACCATGTCAGTTGGAAATAGACACCCTTAATCTCTACTCCTGCTATGCAACTCATTGGAGACTACTGACCAGTTTATTGCAGCTCTAAGTGGTAGTTTGGTAATCACCAAAATAAAGAATTTGTTGGAATGATTTGGAATGTGTAGTTTTCTAATCCGCATAAAAATAAATGGTGGTAATTAAAGTGCAAGGGAGTCTAGATTTTTTTCCGACCAATGCACTTTGTTTCTATTGATTTGCTTATACTCAAATGCCGTTGTAACTCCACTCTCGACCATCACCCTTGTTTCACATCACATCATCCACCACCCTAGGAATTCAGTCTGCACCATTTCCCTCCCATTGGTTACTCTTCTCTTTCCTTTACCAGTTTTATTTGTTCATCTTCCTCCTCAGTCCTTCCTCTCTCCTTCCCATTCCATTACTTGCATTTTATTTGACTTAAATTTATTACAGTTTGTTACACCTTACCCAAATAGTTTGACGTCCTTTTATGAATTCAAGCATTATGATAATACTATAGTAATCTAATGTGAGAAAACTCCAGTCGCTTGTGTCATGATTCTAGATGCTAACTGAATAAAGAACTGATTGAATTGGCTACATGCATAACCTGTTCTGATTGAAAATTTTAGAAATTGTGGAGCAATATACTTTTGGCTTCTGTAGAGAGAGAAAAGAATTATTGAAGAGGTGGGTGTGGATTAGAGAAGAGAGGAGAGAATTATTAAAGAGGTGAATGGGTTTACTGGAAACATAGATTGTTTTATTTGCTAGCATTCCAACTGTATTGGCTTATCCCTTCTTATGGTTTTGAAAGATGTACAAGGCTTATGTCTTTATGGTGCTATGACAAGAATAAAATGCACATGAGGCTTAAGTCTTTGTCGACTTAAAAGAACCTTATGCATTTAGGTGTTCGAGGTGCTGAGTCACATGTTATCGAGGCTTAAGCCTTTATTCTATTGAGAAAAATATGAGGTTTGCCCTCTTTAGGGTTATTTTCGCAAGCACCAATGACCAAATGCTAGTCTTATTTCTTACACCTTCCGTCCCAAAATGGATTGCATAGGACGTATGAGGCAGAATCCTAAGTTTTAAAACTCATTTTATTTAACAATTGGTATAAAAATAAAACATACATGTGTAAAACTACGTCAGAGGTTTTACAAAATAACAGATGACAAGAATATTTTATTTTATCAAATAATCAATGAAAACAAACAAGTAAATAAAAGTTATTGTGATGATGGAATAGTAAAGTGTGCTTTTTTATTTAGGGATGGAGGAGTTATTTCCTCCTTTTGTCTCTTCCACACATGACACAAGCTTGTTCCCCTTCATCTTTTTCCCATCTTTACCCACAATTGTGTTTTCAGTCAACCACCACCAATGTAGTCTCTAATCTCTCTCTCTCTCCAATCAATATGTTTTTTTATTTTGTTCCTCCTTATTTTCTTTTGGGATAATCTTTCTACAACAACCCTTACATCTCTCTCTCTCTCTCTCTCTCTCTCTTGTCTTTGACCTTTAATCTATATTTCCTTTGGATAAAGATATTTAGGCTAGTAATATGGAAGGAGATGGAAACAAGGATGAAGTTGCATACCTAGATACTAAAACATTGAATGATGATAGTTATCAAAAAAATATCGTGAAGTTGAAATAGCAAAATGTGCAATTCATTTAGGAATGGAGGAATTATTTCCTTCCTTTGTCTCTTCCGCACATGACATAAGCTTGTTCCCCTTCATCTCTTTCCTATTTTTACCAAGAGTTGTGTTTTCAGTCAACAACCACCAATGTAGTCTCTAATCTCTATCTCTCTCCAATCAATATGTTTTTTTAAAGTTTTGTTCCTCTTTATTTTCTTTTGGGATAATCTTTTTACAACAACCCTTACTCTGTATATTCTTTAATTATATATATATATATATATATATATATATATGTATGTATGTATGTATGTATGTATGTATGTATAAATTCAAAGCCTCACAGCCTCAGAATGCAGAGGTAGTGTGATTTGAGGCCAGATAGTGCCTTCCAACCTTGGCTAATTTGACACAATATAGTCTTTATATATCCTTGCAGGTCCATCAAATATTGTTTCAATTGAGTCTGAAGAACAGTTTAATACTTCACTTCGCAAGGTTCAAGGTAAGTCCAATAGTTGAATAAGTTATAAAGTTACTATGGAGTATATCCTAGAAAAGCTAGTAGTTCAGGCCTTTTCTTGTTGTCATCAGATACATATGGAGTAGTGGAGAGCCCCCTTTAAAATGGGATCTTTTGTTCTTTTCCTATTATCAAAAATTCATTTAACCAACCTACAATGTTGAGTTTTATGTGTGCGTGTAATGGATTTGAATCTTTTGCTAGATGAATCTCTGCCAGCAATATTCTACTTCACTGCTGCTTGGTGCGGGCCATGTAAGATAATTTATTGACTCTACTTTCTCTTGATGATGACACCATCATTTTGTGTTCATTCTTTTAAACTTTATTCTTGGTTATCTCAGAATGGTAGGTAAACCATAAATATCTTCTTTTTAGTTATTAGTTTTGCTGTATATTTGCAGGTAAATTGTTGTCTCCTGCAATTTCAGAATTAAGTGAGAAATATCCCCATGTTACAACATATAAAGTTGACATTGATAAGGTAAGACTCGTAAGAGATGTCATAATTCTCTTATACCTATGTTTATGGTCGTTAAGTGGCTATATTGTTATCTTGAAGATCTCATCGTTTTTGCCATCAATCGTGCCTGATTGATTGCTTACTTGCTAACCTTGCTTTGTGATATCTTTTTATCACTCCATATGGATACCTTATGCAATCATCCCAACTTAACTGCGACCCACATAGCTTGTTTGTATTAGCCCCTGTCCTTATTACGTGCCCAGCACTAGCAAACTCTTAAACATATGTTTTATTACTTAGTAAAAAAAGCTAATAAATTAAACTGAAACGCTAACAGCAATATTCTCTTTTCCAAAATGTTCATTCGATCAGCATTTTGAAATTAGCATTTTCTTGAGCACAATGCTAATTCAATATGTTATTTACAAATACCCCAATTAGCATTTAGACAGTAAAAACCGCTCTTTTGGTATACAAAAATGCTAAAAAAGAGCTTGATCTGCAATATGCTTGGTTTGCATCAGAGAAAGCTACCATAAGATCCAGTTTGAAATTGTTGCGGATAGATTGTCCCGGGTGAAGCTCAACTGTACCCTGTAATTGCTTGAAAATGCACTTCACAACTTGCAAGTGAGTAGTACGAAGAGCGTGCTTAAATTGAGAAACTACATGTACAACATGAGCAATATAAGATCTAGTCAAGGCAGGATACCGAAGACAACATACCATACTATACACAGAACCATCAGCAAGTAATTCATCATCTGTATGAAGGTGAAACTTGGCAAACAGGTCAGCAACATGTGTGTGTTAGGATATGATTATATGAACAAACCTTGTGGAGTGTGCTGCATCTGCGCAGCCAAGAAATAATGAACATCACCCAAGTCCTTCATAGAAGGTTAGTAATGCATTTTTTATGAGCGGGGTTATTTTCTGTAAGTAACATGTCAACAACATATAAAAGGTGAAAGAAGAGAAGTTTGATGATGATAAACCTAAACCAACATTGAAGTCATTTATACTATAGACAAAGCCTTGTGAGATAATCATAGTTGTGAAAAACGCACATAATTGTGAGTCATTTCTTTATGTGATGCATTTTGAGGTGCGAGAATGTGCTTATCGCGAACCAGTAGGCTTTTTAAAGGTTTAAGTTTAGGGTTGATGGGTTAATGCTCTAGACTCAACCTTCTAAGCTAGTCTTCACCCTCTCTGCTTTGACCTTCTATATCGAAGAAATCTCACACGTCCCAGGCCTCTCTGCTTTGACCTTCTCTCACCGACTTCTCTCCCGGATTCTTCCGCTTTGACTCTCAATCCTGCTTGTCAGATTTTTCCTTGTCTCCTTCTTGGAGCACAATTTTTTTTTCTAGCAGGTTTTTATCCTTTATTTCAGGCATTTTTCCTTTTGAGTCACAGCAAGTCAACTGTAGCAGTGAATGCCCTTTTGAGTTTAGTTTTTGCATTTTCTGTGTCACAGACTCTCAGCAGGTCAACAATTTCTTTAGCAGTTTTTTTTCGCATTTATTACTAATTTAAAGATGCTACGCTACTAAATTGTGCCTTGATTTGTGCCTCGCATTCGTGATGCACCCACCTCAATTGTGGTTGCACATCGAGGCTCCAAAGTCCCTTTGTGCTTCGGCGCGCATTGCGCTTTAAACAACTTTGGAGAGAGAAAGAAAGAATTCAACTGCTGAAACTAGGTCCATGGATCTTTAGTTAAACGATACCAAGGATTTTTCTGGACGACAAACATGAGTAAAGGTTTCGTGGTAGTCAAGAGCAACCAACATGCTCAACTAACCAATCAGACTAAAACTTTATTTTATAAATCCACTTACAACACTCTAAACCCCTAGTGTTGGTTCAAACAAAGGCTTGATATTCTTCTGTTATGGCATCACGCCAATGGCATGTTTGACAACATGAGAAAAACAATGACTTTTTTAACACTAATAACTCTATTATAATATAGTATCTGTTCATACATTCTCAACCCATTAAGCACGTAGAATTATTAACATCACCGGGGATCGAACTTGTGACCTCCCATATGAGAGAGTCACTATCATGCTTGTTATGACGGATGTAAGAAAGATAACAAACAATAAAGAAACGAAAGAACAAACACACACAGATTTAACGTGGTTCACCAACAATATGTTGGCTACGTCCACCTAACAGAAGAGAGGAGAGCTTTTACTGATTGAGGAGAGAGATTACAGAGGGATTTTCTAGGTGACTGATCTATGTCTGAATGCCTTACAAATGAACCTATTTATTGGAAAGATGGCAGCCAACTTGGCT